TGATTTTATCGCAACAATAAACCTAATTCCTCTTTTTCAATATTAAAGCCGTTAAAAAATCTATCCTGATCAATTCTAACTCTTCGTTTTCGTAATTTTTAAACGTAATTATCATTTAGATTAGTATATGCACCTTCAAATATCTTAGACATCTCAACTGATTCTGAAAAAGAAATAGTTACAGTGTGAAATCCCTATTACCCTCTTCCAAGGTTCTCTTTCCAATTTATTTTTAATCACTCTCGCAAAAGGTCAGTGTATTGCATCATTTATTACAATTTTTATTTTTTCTGTGAAAATGCTCCCCTCTCCTTCGTTACTTCGCATTTACCTCTAAAGCTACCATCGCTGCAAATGTAGACACCATTCTTTTGGTCTTATTTGCAGACGTTTTCAAAGAAGTAAAATGTAGTTTTTCTGCACTTTAAAATTATTTTTGCCAATTTGTGTAAGAAAAGATAGTGGCCGAGGCAGGCACCGCCCGTCAGAAATACAAGTTCTAAAACCTTCATAGACAGGGTAGACAAACAAGGGCCCACATTTCCTTATGAGAGCTAGCACTTTAATGGTGAAGATCACCAGAGCCTCGACTTTATATGTCTAGCCTATGATAGGAATCTCATTTTGTATGGCTACGGCAAGCATATTGTAGGGGGGTAAGTTCTTTGCACAACTAACGGACACTCCTACAATAGAGTAATGTAGAGCGTTGTTTTTTAAATATCGTACAATTCCTCTCAATGTATTCTCCTGTAGTGTAGACAGTCATTTTCGCTAAAAATATGCTACAAAAAAATATGTACAAAGGATGTGGAAAGTGTTACGCTGTTAATCATGCACTTTTATTTTATTGCAATATCTGCCAATGTAGTTTTCTACGTGGGATGTTTACAAAGGACCGCAAAAAATGCACCGCATGCATACGTTTCCGTAAGGTTTTTCCAAGAATCATCTGTACCTCCTGATATATCAATTTGCCGCGTTTGGTCTCTTCATGCCTAATAAATTAGAACATTGTGTGTAAGTTGAAAAAGCAAGAAATGTTTCGGCATTGGCTGAGACTGAAATTGCGGTCTTATACTCACCGTTGCTGTAAATAAGCATTTTGCTTATTGTGTAAATGCTATTCAAAACACTGCGTTATTCATGTCAGTGATAGACTCGCAAAAATTTTTATGCAGGACTTACCAAGCCCAATTGCTCCAAGCGCGTAAATAGATGTAGGGTTTGTACAGTAATTGGCACCTCTTATCCATAGATATCCTGTTGCCAATGAATTTATAGCAATCGCTGCCATATCGTAGACACCTAAAAAAGTCATCCAAGAAGTATTTATCCAAATATTTGAGTCAGAAAAGAATTTTAATTCGAAATGTTTGACCTTTACCCAATTCAACCACTTACCCAACGATATCATAATCTTGTAGCAGGACAAATGACGATGCTCTTTCTTCGTCATAATCATCAAAGCTAATGTGTAAAGAAACTGAAAGAGAATAATAATAACTTTGTACTTGCTTGACATCATTATTCTTACCTCTGATGCAAGTCCATAAGCTATGAAAGAGGCTCCCATGAGGTAATTTGTTTCTCCATATTGTCTTGTGGAATTGCTGTTAGAGAGAACTATTATATGTATGATGCAATATCTCAAAGAAATAGGTTTTTTGAATCAAAAACCACTTTATAATCCTTCGAAAAAGGTTCAAGACTCTCAACTTGACTATAGAAATTTACCAAACCTTACTGTCACATTAGGTAAGGGAACCTTTGAATTTGCATAAATCGTAACTTCTATGAGAGAATTTGTTGATACTTGAACTTCTGACTACTACATTATTCATTCTCTGAATCTTTTGTTATAACATAGAACCACAATAAGTTATTTTCTATAGAAAAGTTATTTGTAGCATGAAAAGACAAGAAGAAAGTGACGCATTTTGAGAGTTTTTCTTCCGGTAACGCATAATCTCAAGTACACAAAAAGTGGTTCTGCCACTTTTAAAATATGTATAGTGCCTCCAATTACCAGATTGTTGTCGCACTATAGAGTAATTGTTAATTGTTAATTATCAAATCATTTTCCTCATTGGAAAGAAATTTGCACAGTTGGTATGCAATAAGTAAGCAAGGCGCTTACCCGCAGTCATATTCTGGTATACTTTCCGCATTCCAGCCATACCTGATCAGCTTCTCCATCTAAAAATGATTTTGAAAATACAAAGAAGGCCTACACAAACTATTACCAACAACATAGCTGGCAAATCTGATTTGCCGACATTTAATGGAACCTGAATGGTTAGTTGAGCTAATGAGCTAAAAACTTAGTAGGCTGCTCCATCAATTATTGCTTAACATAGAGCTTTTACTACTCTTTTAACTTCAAAAAATAGTCTACGCATTCAGTTACTATTGGTCAACGTCTATAGTTTTTCTCAGTCGCCAAGTGATGGTTCAAAAGGATAATCGCTCTGCTTCACTACTTTCATTTAGGAACCATATTTATGTGACCTTGTTCAAATAATTCGTAGCGACTAATAATTGCATCAAGTTCTTTCTGGGCAATGAACTTATTTGGCGCAAAAAGTCGCGATAACCCACTCGGTCCAAGATATGCCCTACAAAGTTTGGGCCTTATCGGTACAGAAACAAAAATTTGGAACGTTTGGAACACATAACCGCAAACATACATATTATACATTCCTACAGTTTTATACATATAGATTAGAAGGTATGATTTTAAAATAAAGACACCGTTGAGGCAGAACACAAGTGGATGACAGCATAAGAGTGACAGATTAAGATTATCTGTGATCTTTATAGAAAAGAAGCAACCAAGCTCAATCTTGTGATTAATCCCTCAAAAGAAATCCAAATAGTTATCTATGTGTCTTAATAAGCTTAGCAAACGCATAATCTGTCAACATGTCATAGCAAAGTTGCAGTTATCTCTGAAAAATCTTGTTTTCGATAAGAAGGGCTTATATTGTACACTGCATTTATAAACTTGAAAATGCAAATTAAAGCAGTTCTCATGTTTTGCCCTTAAAAATAACTTTTTTTTAATCACAACTCAAAAGTTACATTGAATGCATGTCTTTGTCTGCAAGATGCATATTTTTGGCTTTGATAGGGATAAGCGGGATGAAGAGGAGAATTCGACTTTGTTAACTAACGTTCACTTGACAAAGTCGCGAAAATGGAGGGTATCTCAAGATGCTGGAATTATATAGTATCTAAACCACAATGTCTGTGTGTTTATTTGTATGTGCGTTTGTATGTTCCGAATACAAAATTTTGTTTTTGAAACAATTCGGACCAAACTTCACACATATACACTTTGGAGACTGCGGGTAACTTAGGCCCTTCTATACGGAAAAATATCGACTGACATTATCAATTTATTGATTTTTTCGCAGTCGCTCTAGATAGCTGAGAGTTGGTACACTGGGGTAAGTTGATATGCTGATTACAAATATGATAACCATTTGGAAATTTATCGATGGGGTCTATTAATTTATTAACTTTCTGCAATTATCAAAAGCGTTGGTTGGTGTACTCTGCTTACTTGATATGCCAACTACGAATTTGATAGTCTCTCAAAAATTCATCGATCGATTTTATTGATCGATGAATTGATATTTATTTATCGCACATTTCTCTTTGGGGAGCTGAGACTGGAGTAACTTAATATGCTGATTACGAATTTGATAACTTCTCGAAGGCTTATCATTTATTTCATCAATTTAGCGGTTTTTTCGCTTTTACTGGAAATTTGAAAATTTGTTTACAGGCTGATAATGCTACCAATTAATGCAAAGATGTGCTAACATGCTAAAAGGGTTTTATTTTTTCCCTAGATTTGCTAAGAATTTTCATGCTGGAGATTTCAGAAAGTAAACCGTGCTTCTTTTAGTAAAAAAAATATGCAAACCAAAGTACTATTAAGTACTCTGAAACAGCCGAGCGCAGCCGGGTACTCAAGTTGCTGCTAATAAGGTAGCAGAAGGTTATACATGTATCATTATGATATCGCTGTTTTGCGTTCTATAAAAAAAATTGAAAGAAAAACAAAATATGGTGCCCATCCAGCCATCCTTTAATGTTTTTTCCTTTTCAAAATTTGTTCGTTAAGAGGAGCACTTCG